CCCTGCCCGGGCCTGTGGGGAGGAAGGGAGCCCCAGCCAAGGGGGGAGCAGAGCAAAGGCACCAAGGGGAAAGTGCTGCAGGGCACCGTGATCCCACCAGAGCCCGGGTGGCATCTGACCAGGGTGACCTTGGGCCGTTTGCTCGTGGCCCAGCAGCTGGAGGTTCCCATCGATTTGGGCTTCACCCTGCAGCCACATGGCCCTGCTCCTGCAGCCACATGGCCCTGCTCGTGGCTGTGGTGGGTTTGCTGGGTCTCCTCCTGCTCCCTAGCCCCTCAGCAGGGATTTTCCTTCCCTGTGGATTTGTCCAGTCGCTCTTTGAAGCCCTGGGAAATATTCTGTGCCCACGCTGTGCTGCAGCCAGAACCCCACGTCCCAGCACCTGCCTCCCTTGGCTCAGCCAGGAGCTGCTGCTTGCTGCTCCCCCTTGGCACGTCCTGCCTCAGAGGAGAAACATGTACAGGAGGAAAGAAGTGGCCACCACTCCCCCTCCAGCCTGAAAGGACCTCTGAGCAGCCATTCATTACCAGAGCCACTCTTTGCTTTTACAAACCTAGAGCATCACCCAGCACGGGAGGAGCAGAGACCACGAGCCCCCTGCTGCCTCCTTCCCCAGCACCAGCTCCCACCACATCCCCAGTGACACCACTGGGTCCCAGAGCCCCCCAGGACCCCCAGCAGGTGCCAGGGACAGGTAGAGGGGTGGCAGAGCCCAGCTCAGGCTCCAGAACCTCTCCAAAGCAGCAACCCAGTCCCCACCCCAGCAGGGATCCTGCATATTAATGGCACTGCATTCTCCAGCCATCTGTTCCCACAGCCAGGAAGGGAGCAGTCCCTTTGGTCTCCTCTATTAACAGGTTTCCCTGTAAATGCAAACAAACCCTCCCACCCCAGCACCACACTCCAGATCCATTGGAGGCACCCGGGAGGGAGGGGAGAGCTCCGGGCACTTCAGGGAATCAAGAGCAGCAAAAGCAAAGGTGAGGATTTCATGATGCCTGGGGCTTGGTGGGAGAGCCAGGGGAGCAGGGGGCAGAGGAGAGGTCTCTGCAAACCCAAACCTGCTCATCAGATGGTTTCTGATCCTCCTGCTCACATTAAAGCCTCTCCACACTGCCCTGTGAGGGAAGGGGGAAGCTGAGCTGGCTGCAGGGAGATCTGCCCATGACTCTGGATGTGCCCAACCCACCTCGGGGTGTATTGTCCCCTCCTTTCCCTGCCCACTCACCACCTCCCTGGGCAGAGGATGCTCCGTGGGAAGCACGGGGAAAGGCACAGGGGGCAGGGTGCCAGGGCTGGGCACAGGGGGCAGGGTGCCAGCTCTGCCTCCCCGAGCCCAGGTGGGAGCTTGCCCTGCCCAGCAGTGAGGGCTGCTGA